GAAATAGCATGGTCTAAGCAATATCATTTGTCAAGCGCTTGTGCCGGTTGTAATGCATCTCCAAGAAGACCTTTGAAGCCTTGTCAATTGTTTTACACCATGTCTACATGAAAGGAAAAAATCAAAAAAAAAAAAAAAACTAATAATAGTAATCAATAAAATGAAGAAATAAATAGAGGCAATTCACAGTTAAACATTAAGTTGACATTGAACTGCTATAGTTCACAATAATTTAATGAATCTCAAGGTGTAAATAGAAACTATTCCAATAGTAGATGAAATCATGATGGTGATGGAGTGGCGGCAGTGATGGCGTACCACAGCCAATCCTGCTATCTAATGTAATGACAGTCACATGCTGGTGCAATCATCATGACAACGATAATGATACAAATCAAAAGAAAACCTGTACTTTCAAAATTTCAATCTCTTTTAACTATAAGTAAAATGAATTTTACCTAACCAAAAAAGTAAAATGAATTTTCTTTCTGATTTCTAATCTCACCCTTCCCAAAACACTTGATGTAGTCGGAATGTGCTTTAGGTCTTATCAATTTTGATACTTTAGGATTAAAGTCTTGTGATATACAGCCTTCCGTTTGCATGCTGACCAACACCTAGGTTCAGTTTTTCCTAAAGGAAGTCTTTATTATTAACTCCATTATTACATTGTGCTAATCTAACATGTATCGCCCTTAATACCAGCCATGCTTCGCCGTGGAAAAAATCATCGCAGCCACTCTTTGGGAACATTTACTCTGGTGAAAGTTTTCTACAGTTGAAATGCAAAATGTCATGCTTTTTGGTAACTATACAGTGCCATTCCTAGGGAACAAAATCTACGTATATCCCATGATCTACGTATATCCCAAATTTTAGTTGACTTGTATAAATCTTTCTTAGCCAGGCTTAAAATATAACCCTAATAAGCCCTCATCTATAAACAGGTTTTATTTCACATCTTTTGGTCAAACGACTATTGCAGTAACATTTCAAATAAAAAATTAATTTGACAATGCTAAAGATCTAGTGATTCAGATAAAGTGCTAATGCTTCACACTTAAAATGTTGTTTGGCACTTGAAAAAGGTCTAGAGGAGATTTAGCCCTCAAAATGGAAAAGAATTTGCTTAGGATTGATAACATAACATGACAGAGATTATGAATTGTTCATTTTATTCAATTAAACCAATACAAATTTGCTTTATGCCAATCAATTCTGCAATCAATATAATAATCAATTAGACACACAAAAGGATTCCCTTTTTTTTTTTTTTCCTTCTTCCTGTTGAAAATCAAAACGGACAAAAACCACAGGATCCCGTAGCCAACCAATTCACAATGTAAGAGGAAAAAAAAATAGAAACCACCCCCAACCCTAACCCAGTTCATGTGCCTTAGGTGTTGAATCCTAACACTTGTTAGCGTGTTTCATACCACTGGAAATCGGTGATGTTTGTTCCTGAATGGTTGGTAGAGTATCAAGCATCCATGATACTCTATGAATTCACCACAAATTAAACACGATCCACCATTGACTAGGAAATCACCAAAACAAACTTGAAATGTATTAAAGTGATGTAAAACGCATATTAATCAATTGATAGTACAAGCGAATATGGATGCTTCTCTTATTTGACAAATTTATTTTGGTTACAACTAGTTTAATTCTCCTCCCATACGAAATTGCTGGTCCATTTTAACTATTCCAAACATCCCAAAAAAATCATCTATGTTTTTTTATTTATTCTTTCTTTCAATTTGTAGGAAAAAAAAATACATTATTTATTGACCCTACTAAAAGGCATGAATGCTGAAAATTGACAAACAGTTGGGGATGGAACGAGTATTTATAAATGAGATGACTTGAAGACCAATCCCATCCAAAATCCAAGTTAAAACCACCTTAGACTTTGCAAAATCGTTGGCCACTGCTCGAGCCATGAAAATCCCTAGAGACTGCTTCCAAATGAGATCTCAGTTTTTTAATAGATTGGGTGTCTGCTTCCACTTGAGATCTCAGTTTTTTAATAGATGGAAACAAAGTTGATTGAAAACTCACAATTTTCATATAATGGAAGATTTTTTCTTTCAAGCTTGTCCCTTAGCTATCCTTCAAGTCAAAAGTTAATACAATGGAAGATTTTTTCTTTCAAGCTTGTCCCTAGCTATCCTTCAAGTCAAAAGTTTTCCTATAAAAAATTGGATATATTGTGGCTAAGATTTTTCTTTATACTTTTGTTTGGATTTGACTTGCTTTCATATGTATTTTTGCTTCTATGATTTTGTTAAGCAGTCAAGTCACCCAAGGAGGGTTCTTTCCATTCTAGTTGCTCCCAATATGTACTATTATTTCTTCTACGATTTTGCTAAGCAAACACAAAGGAGGAATAAAATGATTGATATTTGCTCCCAATAGGTATTATTTCTTCAATTGTGATTTTGAAGGTTGGAGCTAGTCCTCCTAGGCATTTGTACATCAACTTCTCAGTACACCAAAATCCCATCCAATCAATTTCCACTAAATCAATGACAGCCTAAGTTTTCTAATCCAAGATTAAATAGTTCGAGAATTCAACCTGACCAGCCTTAAGACAACCAACTTTATTTTGTTCATGTTGTATCTCAAGGGGGAATAATGAAGGAGAATTTTCCTCTTCCCGGTATATAAAATCCAGAACGAGACACGAGGAGAAATCCCGAGCAAAAATTACATAAGAGGGAAAAAGGCCAAACTATACATCAGCCCATAAGCTAAATTCTTCCGGGGGCAAAAATTACATAAGAGGGAAAAAAGCCAAACTATACGTCAACCCATAAGCTAAATTCTTCCGGCAAATCAATCAAGAAACAAAAGAAAGAGATTCCTAATAGTATTTATCAATAGAGAGAGAGAGAGAGAGATTCCTAATAGTAATCTACGTTACACTAGTAATTTGACAGGGTAACGGGTACAGGGTGTGTATCTAAGGATCGGACACTTTAAAATTAAAAATTAAGGATACGTGGATACGGATCCAAATTAGGATACGGGTATGGAGATACGTTAAATAGTTATTTTTAAATATATTTATTATATGAAGATGAGTTTAAAAAGTTTAAGGAATAACAAATTTTATTAAAAAAATAACAAATAAATAATAAATAAAAATTATAAACATTATTTTAGACATAAAATAAATTATATTATATATGATAAAATAAATTATTTTAATTTTAGACATAAAAGTTATGTTATGTATGATATATTATATTATATAATATTTTTTTGAATAAATAATATTATATAATATGAATAATATTATATTAATATAATTTATATTATATATAATTCAATTTATATTAAAAAGAAAAGTTAGAGACCTATAGAAATAAAAATTGTGTTAGCTTCGCAGAGACAACGGAAGAGGAAGACCTAGAAAATTGGTTGGTAGAGCAATGACTTCGCAGAGACGACGGAAGGGGAAGACGACAAAGAGAGTCCGAGATCGAGCTCAAAGGGGAAGACGACGAAGCACAGTACATCGACTTCGCAGATCGATCAACTTCGCAGATCAAGCTTCGCAGATCGATCAACTTTACAGATTGATCGATGCTCTGCAACCGATTGAAGTCGAAGGCCAGGTTCTCTCCTTGCTCTCTTCTCTTTCGATTCTTCTGCCGTATCCGTTTCTAAGGAGCCGTATCCCGGCCGTATCCCGCACCTGTACCCGTGTCGTGTCGTGTCGACACAGGTACCTTCTAAATTCCACCGCACCTGTACCCGTGTCGTGTCGTGTCGACACAGGTACCTTCTAAATTCCAAAGAGTCCATGTAACATAGGTAGAGGGAAAGAAACTTGAGGCAACAGAAGATGGGCAACCCACAAACACTCATCCACAGGAGCCAAAATACATAAAGAGAGGCTAGGACAACCCTCATGAGGGTCGACTAGGCCAGAGGGGCATTCGGCTGAAGTCGAAACAGCTCTATGGGACCTTGGCTGGTTCCGACAGAGACTCATGGACCAGTGATACAGGATGTGTGGTGATAGGTGATGGCTGGTTGGTGGTAGCGGCTGTGTAAGTGACGGTTTTTAGGGTTTTGGCTCTAATACCATATAATTTAAGAGAATACAAAGCTTGAGTGATGATTATGAAATCATCACCTTTTATATTAATCAATCAACTATTACAAAAAGAAGCCCTAAAGCACTGATTAAGGAATCACCTTTTATATTGATTGATTGACTGACTGATTAAAGAATCACAATCAATCAATCACAATCACAATCACAATCTAATCTAAATAAGGAAATAAGGAAATATTCTAACAGCTTCTGCTACTATAACACCCCCATCTCAAATCATAACAATTGTTCACTTTGAGCTAGGCCCTCAAGGGTTTAAAGCATGTTGTTACTTGGAAGGAATATAAACTCATTTATATAGCCCAGGAACTTTTCCCACCTAGACGATGTGGGATGGAATGTGATGTACAATAATGAAAGTGAATTCACTTATATAGCATACTTAACCTAAAATAATAACCATATAAAAATTCTTTGACAAGGAGGAGTAATGCCCTTGGACTTCTGCACGTACTTTAGTCAATAAAGGTGAACACTTTTGCAAGTGTCCCAACAATTGTTGGGCAAGAATGGACATAAGAGCATAGTCAACAAGTATTCATTATTGTCTAAACATCTATTCAACATCAAAATTGCCAAGTGAAAGAAATGTCCTCAATATCATTACCTTCCATTTGGGCAACTGTACTAATGAAGTTTTACCAGTAAATACACTAGCTATGTACTAAACGGAGAGGAGGGAAAGATGAATCGAGCACTCACAATACCCATAATTACTGTAAAATCCAATGACAAATTAGCAGACGTTAATCAAGTTTTTGAATATTCTACTGAAATCAAACCTTCAAGTAGCAAGGCAAGACATTGTTGATTGCCTAAATTTCAGTTTTCCCATCCTTTCTGGATAGTTCCTAGCATCCTAAATTTCTAGATGAAATAAATGAACATTCACCTTAAACATGCTTTCATATTATGCCAGCCAAACCACATGTTATGAGTATACTTGAAACAATGGCATTTGGATCCTGTATGCACAGCGACATGCAAATTGTCTTATTATTGACTATATTGACACTTACGATATTTAACTCGCAAAGACAACAATTCTATCAGAAACTTTATTAGTCACATTACTCTCTGGATAATTTCTGATCCAACTGAAGATGAAGCATTTTCCATGTGTCTTTTCAATAAAATAGGTATATAAGAACAACATACAATCATTTATTTATCTGAGCTGCGAACTCCCGTCTCTGTTATTTGTTCATAGCATGTAATGGACCTCTCTAATAATAACTAAAACAAACATGCAATGTATAACAAGTATTGCAGGCATGCACAGAGTGATCTTGTATGCTCTGTGTAAACTGAAGTCTAAATGCTTCATTAGCATGTTTTTGAACAGATACTTCATTAGCCTATTTACTAATGCCAAAATTAAGGCATCATCAATACTAAATGTACGTCCTGGACAAAACAAATATATAAAGGGAAGGAAGTGTCAATCATAACATATGTATCAGTAATATAGTAAGTTAGAGCTTCTCGGAGCAGCAATGAACTCACCTAACATTGTTTGGGGTAAGCTCATTGAGTGCTGATTCAATAATGGTTGGGCTGAATTTAGAGGGCAAGGATGACCCCACTAGCCAATCATTAGGAGGATACAACTGCAAAATAATTTCAAACGAACAGTTGATGTCAGCAAAGCAAGTGACTGCTGAAGAAACAACAATCACTCAGACTGAGTTTGAACAGGATGAAGATGGGGAAAGAGAACAAAAATTCAACTATTTAATTTCATGTATTTGTTTAGCAGGAGAAGGGTGGAAAATACAACAAAGTTAAATATCTTATACAACCCACACCAGAATGGCAACTTTGCTTCTAGATTCTTACAAAAAAATACAGTCACTTTTTTCTCTCATTAAAGTAGCCAACTATTGTAACTTTCTCACAAAAAATTAAACCAAATGCAAACGAGAAAATAAATTTTCCTTTCACCTTTTCTTTCACTTCACTATCTATCACTTTTGTTTTCCATCATATTTTTTACTCTAATCAAATGGACCCTCAAGATTCTCATTGAAAAGTTGAAGTGCAAAGCAAGAAGCCAAAGAAAGAGAAGCAGAGAAAAGCTGAACTTCTTAACTACATCTTGTAAAAAAATAAATAAAAAGTGAAAAAAAAAAAAAAAGAAGAAGAAGAAGAGAGAATCAAAAACTACACTCAAGTCAATCAAAGAAACGTCTCCAGGAAATATCGAATTAGTAGTGGCTTATCTCCAAAAACCGGCTTTGTATGAATTTTACTTGTCAAAACAAGTCTAAGCTGAGATTGAGCCTAGCTCCTATGCTACTGAACCAAGCTCAAGCTCCTTGTACTTGGCTGGCTTCATCTCATTTACAGTCTAGATGAAGTGGGAACCTTCACCTTCATCTAGCACATGTCAGCATAATAAACTGACTGATCTTGCTTAATATTCAATGATCCAAACTCATCAAGGCAAGTGGTGGGTTGCTCTTAAATTATCCTCCAACAATGCTTCACTGCAAAAAAGTAGCATCAATCTTTTCCTACTTAAATGGTACAAAGAAAATTCCACATAAAGACTTAAATATATAAATAAAACCATCAGAGCAATCATGGCTTACTAAGCCAAACCAAGCCTTAGCAAGCTCATCAAATAAATTGAATTCTACACCATTTATAAGTGAGCTTGACTTGTGAACTGAAGCTTGTACCCTATACAGCTTTCTGTAAAGAATGCACCTCAGACAGTAAAAAACAACAAACATCAGGATAAGAAGAAATTATACCATTCAAAACCAATCAACCACCTCTGAATTCAAATGACAGGACTTTTTTTTTTGTATCAGCAAAAACAGAATTTATTGAATAGATCAAAAAAGAGGCAAGGGTGAGGCATCCTCTACAAGTAAGAAAACACAGAAAGAAAATGCATCTCCAACAAAACAAAAAATAAAATCCAGAAACAACTCCTAATCCAATAACCACTTGCATATTCATGCCACCGTCATGCATCTAAGAATAATCATGGGGAGAATTTGGCTAACCATGGGCCATGCAACTTTTCAACCCCCAGTTAGCAGATAAGTGGGATCTCAAGGATGAAAAGTTCAAAGGATAAATTATTTATCAAAAAAAAAATTCAAAGGACAAATCAAAAGATGGGCAGCTTATTCATTATTTCATCCTCTTGGAAAGAAGATTAAAAAAAGAAGAAGACTATCAAGACATAGCACAAGGATGGTAACCGAGACTGGTACGACATCCAAAAAAATGAACATTCTGTCGTCAAAAGAATTTGAAGAGGGTTGCACATGCTACTTTTATAAGTATGGTGGGAACCGTATGTTAAAAATGAAATTGCAGTTGTCATTTCCATTTTCCATTGTTATAAAAGCCTGTTTTCTCATAAAGTTTGTACAAGAGACTATCAGGTTTGAAAGAATTTTGGTCATCATTGAAAAGAATATACAAAATAAAAATAAAGAAGATAATCCAAATTCTTAATTAAAAATCGACACAAAAATAAGAAGAAAAACATCTCCACGAAGGTAAATAGCCTAAAATTGCAATGCTTTTTAATGCAATATCATGCACAAGGATCAAAATTTTGTTGCAGCATGACATTTAAAAAGACTCCGAAAAAGGAATATCTAGTAAACATGCCGCAAATGCAATGGAAATAGCAAAAAAAACTTTGAAAGACAGGTGAACACTTGAAGCACAGAAAAAGATTTATTAATGCATATTAAAATAATTTCCAACAACGCTATTATGGCAAAAGCACACTTAGAACAGTTTCAAAGCTGATATTCTTTTGTACTATAAAATAATCATAGACAAAATATAACATTGTCATATGAACTCAACATTTTAACACAAGTAAAACAATTCAAAATAAAGGTCATAGCAATTAGAAACTAATATTCCAAAAGATCTTCCAGTTATTCTGATATTGGTTCACCTCTTCTCCTTATCTACTTATTCTCAAAGAAATTCGAGAATTTTTTATGCATATGCTTTTGGGTTCTAAAAACTCAACAATATGGCTAAAAGAATAATAACCTTTTGTTCTTTTTAGACTATATTGCTGCCGGCAATAAATTCAAAATAATAATAATAATAACCATCCCAAACATTTTACGAGCAGTTTTCAGTTTTTTATGAAAAGTTTACTTTTATGAATATCAGCATTTTGGTTTTGCAACCAAGCTTTATTGTACTAGAAAGCAAAGACATTCAGCTAATTCCATGCAAAGAGAATTTTCATTTCTGTGCAGATAAAATAGATTCAAAGAAACTTTGATATCAAATGCGTTGTCTAATTCCCCTGCTAAAATGAATATAGAGACCATCACTCTGGTCCACTACTGCCATATATGACCAAGCTTTGAAACCATACTGTTTAAAGTCTCATTTTCAAAAGAGATACCTACAAAATTAGGGCCACATTATACAGAAGCTCCAACAACACAAGGAACTAGACTATCTAAACCAGTAAAGATCATGTTATTGCCCATAAGCTACGCATGATACGAACATGCCGACACAGGAAATTTCCAAAATATCAAGACATAACACAATAGTAATCCAAAAAAGGGCTCAATATCAAATGTTTCGACTCCAAAATAAAAACTACACCTCCATTAAAGATTCTCCTATTGTGCTCCTAGATGCATCACCAAAAACAAATCACTAAAGACTCCGGCCCATTTCTTTTTTCTTCCCTTTTTTTTTTTGACAAGTAAATATATTAGAAAGGTGCCAAAAAAAGAAGGTACCAAAAAAAAGGAGCACAGTCACCACTTTACACCAGCTATGTTTGATTTCGGTTTGGATTAGGCAGATAAGATACCCCCGAATGTGTAAGCCAGGCAAAAGCATTTTAGTCATTCACATGCAAAAGAGTTATCCCCGGTTTAACTGTCCCACCCCTAGGACAAAATAATCCCTCATATAGGTAAAGGGCTCGCGTGGGATTAGCTATTCTGAGCAACTTTTGCAGTACCAAATGTGGGATTATTTACGAAACAACACAAGGATGAGGGAGGAGTCACAAGTCACTACATCTTAGTTGCCAACTTCATATGCAAATGGAAATACAGCATGAGTTACGTCAGACAGATCAGTAACAAAGGCACATACACTTCCACAATCCACCATTAACAGTTTCCCACTAATAAAAGCCAACATAACTTGATCATTCATTTAAGAATGGAACTCAATGGCTTTCATGGATGAAATAAATAGACTTGGTTATCAAAAAGAGGTCAAAACATGTTCTTCTTCTCATGCAATATATATATATATATATCTCTATCGAGCTTTTTTTCTCTTGCTAAAAAAATAAAAGAACAGAATTCGATGTACATCATGTACTAAACAAGCTCTGGGTTGCACATGCTACTTTTATAAGTATGGTGGGAACCGTATGTTAAAAATGAAATTGCAGTTGTCATTTCCTTTTTCCATTGTTATAAAATCCTGTTTTCTCATAAAGTTTGTACAAGAGACTATCAGGTTTGAAAGAATTTTGGTCATCATTGAAAAGAATATACAAAATAAAAATAAAGAAGATAATCCAAATTCTTAATTAAAAATCGACACAAAAATAAGAAGAAAAACATCTCCACAAAGGTAAATAGCCTAAAATTGCAATGCTTTCTAATGCAATATCATGCACAAGGATCAAAATTTTGTTGCAGCATGACATTTAAAAAGACTCCGAAAAAGGAATATCTAGTAAACATGCCGCAAATGCAATGGAAATAGCAAAAAAAACTTTGAAAGACAGGTGAACACTTGAAGCACAGAAGAAGATTTATTAATGCATATTAAAATAATTTCCAACAGCGCTATTACGGCAAAAGCACACTTAGAACAGTTTCAAAGCTGATATTCTTTTGTACTATAAAATAATCATAGACAAAATATAACGTTGTCATATGAACTCAACATTTTAACACAAGTAAAACAATTCAAAATAAAGGTCATAGCAATTAGAAACTAATATTCCAAAAGATCTTCCAGTTATTCTGATATTGGTTCACCTCTTCTCCTTATCTACTTATTCTCAAAGAAATTCGAGAATTTTTTATGCATGTGCTTTTGGGTTCTAAAAACTCAACAATAAGGCTAAAAGAATAATAACCTTTTGTTCTTTTTAGACTATATTGCTGTCGACAATAAATTCAAAATAATAATAATAATAACCATCCCAAACATTTTACGAGCAGTTTTCAGTTTTTTATGAAAAGTTTATTTTTATGAATATCAGCATTTTGGTTTTGCAACCAAGCTTTATTGTACTAGAAAGCAAAGACATTCAGCTAATTCCATGCAAAGAGAATTTTCATTTCTGTGCAGATAAAATAGATTCAAAGAAACTTTGATGTCAAATGCGTTGTCTAATTCCCCTGCTAAAATGAATATAGAGACCATCACTCTGGTCCACTATTGCCATATATGACCAAGCTTTGAAACCATACTGTTTAAAGTCTCATTTTCAAAAGAGATGCCTACAAAATTAGGGCCACCATTATACAGAAGCTCCAACAACTCAAGGAACTAGACTATCTAAACTGGTAAAGATCATGTTATTGCCCATAAACTACGCATGATACGAACATGCCGACACAGGAAATTTCCAAAATATGAAGACATAACACAATAGTAATCCAAAAAAGGGCTCAATATCAAATGTTTCGACTCCAAAATAAAAACTACACCTCCATTAAAGATTCTCCTGTTGTGCTCCTAGATGCATCACCAAAAACAAATCACTAAAGACTCCGGCCCATTTCTTTCTTCTTCCCTTTTTTTTTTTGACAAGTAAATATATTAGAAAGGTGCCAAAAAAAGGAGCACAGTCACCACTTTACACCGGCTATGTTTGATTTCGGCTTGGACTAGGCAGATAAGATACCCCCGAATGTGTAAGCCAGGCAAAGGCATTTTAGTCATTCACATGCAAAAGAGTTATCCCCGGTTTAACTGTCCCACCCCTAGGACAAAATAATCCCTCATATGTAGGTAAGGGGTCACGTGGGATTAGCTATTCTGAGCAACTTTTGCAGTACCAAATGTGGGATTATTTACGAAACAACACAAGGGTGAGGGAGGAGTCGCAAGTCACTACATCTTAGTTAAACTACATATGCAAATGGAAATACAGCATGAGTTACGTCAGACAGATCAGTAACAAAGGCACATACGCTTCCACAGTCCACCATTAACAGTTGGCCTCTGAAAACTCCCACTAATAAAAGCCAACATAACTTGATCATTCATTTAAGAATGGAAGTCAATGGCTTTCATGGATGAAATAAATAGACTTGGTTATCAAAAAGAGGACAAAACATGTTCTTCTTCTCCACTACATCTTAGTTGCCAACTTCATATGCAAATGGAAATACAGCATGAGTTACGTCAGACAGATCAGTAACAAAGGCACATACGCTTCCACAGTCCACCATTAACAGTTGGCCTCTGAAAACTCCCACTAATAAAAGCCAACGTAACTTGATCATTCATTTAAGAATGGAAGTCAATGGCTTTCATGGATGAAATAAATAGACTTGGTTATCAAAAAGAGGACAAAACATGTTCTTCTTCTCATGCAATATATATATATATATATATATCTCGAGCTTTTTTTCTCTTGCTAAAAAAATAAAAGAACAGAATTCGATGTACATCATGTACTAAACAAGCTCTTAAATACTTAACACTGATAATTAAACAACCAAGACATAGATAAAAGATACTTGCAAACTGCCTTCAGACACAAAGAAAGAAAGAAAGAAAGAAAGAAAGAAAGAAAAAAAAAATTCAATGAAAAGGAAACCACAGTGCAATCAATTTAAGAGTCGGGAATTTACGAGATTACTAGAATGTTCTACGAGAATTTCACACAAATTCTACAGTATGTATGTAAAATTACTAACCCCGTCAATTGTGTCAATTAATATGTATATATGTAAATATATAGCACATATTTATTGATAAAGATGGGGCCCTATTAAACTACTGCCATCAACATCAAATTGCAAAATTAACACCAACTTAAATTTACATATGTATGCACCGAAATTTTCCATTATTAGGGTGAGCAAGTTTGATTATCGTGCCATGTCAAGTTTTGATACATTTTTTTTTGAAACATGATTTAATTTTTATTTTTAAATAGATCCGGCTGTATAAATAAATAATGTAACAAAAGGACATAATGTTGAGATTAGGATTTATGGAAACTAGTACTAAGTACATAAGGTTGAGATTAGGGTTTCAAGGAAATGGATTCCCCAAAATCAAATTATGAAAGGTTGGTCCCCCTAATGCAATCCTTGAAGTCTGCAACTTTTCCTCAAGTCACAAAAGAGATAATCATAGTAAACCAAAAGCATTTTAGATTCTCAAAAGCCTATACCCCAAGCCCATTAAACTAAAATAATCAACCCAAACAAACTTTTTAATCCCAACTAAAAAAAATCTCAACTCTAAAAAGCCAATTAAAATTTTTTTTGCCAAACCACAACATAATATAGATATAATATTTATTGGTGGGCCAGTTTTCTAATTGAATCTTTGTGTAATGGGTGCAAGCCACGCACCCATTAAACTGAAAGACTAAAATCTTTATTATCTGCTTGGTTTGTATGATATTTGGTAGCTTACCTAACTTAGTGTGATTTGATTGTTTCCATCATGTAAACAAAAATTGGATGTAAAACACAGAAAATTTTCTATTGTTGATAGATTACCCTTTGGGGCTTTGTCATTGAAAAGATGAATATTATCAGAATTTGATATGGAAAAACAAAACCATGGTGTATTAATTTGTTAATCTACTCTCAGAAAGACACAGCAGCGTGGGGATCAAAGGGCTGAACCTGTCAAACTTTGAGCAGTCAATGGCACCAACAACAAGTGTAATTCAAGATTTCCGGTATATATATGAACTATCGTTTTTATTCCGTTTTTATTATGTCCATGTTATCTTAGGTTAACAACAATGTGATTTGGGATTGCAGGATTCAAAACAAAGGTGAAAAAGATACTTGCAAACTGCAATCAATTTCAGACACAAAGAAACAAAGAAAAAAAAAAAAAAAATTAATGAAAAGGAAACCACAGTGCAATCAATTTCAGAGTAGGGAATTTACGAGATTACCATAATGTTCTACGAGAATTTCACACAAATTCTACAGATACAAGTTGAGAATTCAAACAACTAAATTTGGCACAATTAATATGTATATATGTAAATATATAGCACATATTATGTATGTAAAATTACTAACCCCGTCAATTGTGTCAATTAATATGTATATATGTAAATATATAGCACATATTATGTATGTAAAATTACTAACCCCGTCAATTGTGTCAATTAATATGTATATATGTAAATATATAGCACATATTATGTATGTAAAATTA